TGTAGCAATAATAGGTTAAATCAGTGCAAATTTGGTAATATAGTGACATTAAAGGGTAATTAATAGGTACTAACAGGTTTTTCACAGTATTATCGGCTGCTATGAGCGTAAAGCTTCAAAATCACGGGAAGTCAAACATGTTATTATTATTTTATGATGTGAAGTGCTACTGAAATTAAAACATTTAATATATGGATATGAGCTCTCACTCCCTGTGGTTCGTCATGTGTCCATCAGTCTGGCGATTGGTTCAATCCACGGTCACGCGGCGGCGGTCGGGGAGCTGAGCGTCGTGTGGGTCGACGCCCACGCCGACATCAACACGCCGCTGACCCGTCCACCGGAAACATCCACGGGCAGCCCATGTCCTACCTCCTCCACGAGCTGCACTCAGAGGTCATCCTGAGACGAGATGCGTGTTTTTTCAGAGCGTATCTTCTCATCACGCAGACCGGGGCTGAATGTTGTTCCTTCCTCACCAGGTTCCCGTCTTGCCAAACTTCTCCTGGATCAAGCCGTGTGTCTCGGCCAAAGATCTCGTCTACATCGGATTGAGAGACGTGGATCCCGGGGAGCAGTAGGTTTCTGAGCTGATCTGGAGTCACTTAGACGGGAAAGACAGAGAAGATCCACATTTAAACGAGTTCATTTAACTGTTTAGAGAAGATTAACGTCTTTCCTGTCTCAAGATTTAATATTCAATACTACTGTGGAACCAGGATATTCTGATCTTAATGCGTCCTAGTCTTTCCACTGAGACGACTCTGCATCCACAGACTGGATGGTGGAAGAGTCTGCAGCTGCTCTGTCAGGCTGTATGCAGTCACAGCAAGGCGTTCAGCTAAATGCTAACATGCTCACAGTAACAGTGCTAATCTGCAATATTTACCCTGTTCCCCATCATAGTTTAGCGTGTTAGCATGCTAACATTAGCAGCAAACACTGATGGGAATGGCATCAGCTCTGCAGGTATTTGGTCCAAACCAACAGGTATTGGACATTTTTGTAGAACATAATAAGTGAGGAATTAAAAGAGTCATTCTTTTGTTTCCCCAGTTACATCCTGAAGCTGCTGGGTGTGAAGGTGTTTTCCATGTCGGACGTGGATCATCTCGGTGTGGCCAGAGTCATGGAGGAGACATGTGACTACCTCTCTGCCAGGTGAGCTCCACCTCCTGCATAACAATCACCTATTAGCACTCTCAGGAGCCACCTTGCTACATCCTAACAACACCAAAGGAGCTGCAGATGATTTTCAATGAAAATTAGTCAGAAGTGAGATAAATAATTAGTTTAGGAAGGTTTGGGCACAATCTGCAGGTTCAAAGAATGCTATTTAATTACACTAATAAATGTTCCTGCACTGTGGATTGTAGACCACTACAGACCTGTAGACCACTACTGACCTGTAGACCACTACTGACCTGTAGACCACTACAGACCTGTAGACCACTACTGAACTGTGACCACTACTGACCTGTAGACCACTACAGACCTGTAGACCACTACTGACCTGTAGACCACTACTGACCTGTGGACCACCACTGACCTGTAGACCACTACTGACCTGTGACCACTACAGACCTGTAGTGACCACTACAGACCTGTGACCACTACTGACCTGTAGACCACTACTGACCTGTGACCACTACAGACCTGTAGACCACTACTGACCTGTAGAACACTACAGACCTGTAGAACACTACTGACCTGTAGACCACTACAGACCTGTAGACCACTACTGAACTGTGACCACTACTGACCTGTAGACCATTATTGACCTGTAGACCACTACAGACCTGTAGACCACTACTGACCTGTAGACCACTACTGACCTGTGACCACTACTGACCTGTAGAACACTACAGACCTGTAGAACACTACTGACCTGTAGACCACTACAGACCTGTGACCACTACTGACCTGTAGACCACTACAGACCTGTAGACCACTACTGACCTGTGACCACTACAGACCTGTAGACCACTATTGACCTGTAGACCACTACTGACCTGTGACCACTACAGACCTGTAGTGACCACCACAGACCTGTAGACCACTACAGACCACTACTGAGGTCACACCGGTACAACAGCATTAACAGCGACACTGTTACAGTGAAAACATTTAGTTTTCACTGTAAACAACAGTCTGTGGCTGATTTGACTGATGTTGTTTTGAAATAGGCTACTAGAGATCGGTTCACTTCTACCGACACTAAAATATCCCCTGAATCAGTATTCACGATGTCTGTGTGTTGTCGGGATGTGTGAGCTCCCTCAGGGTCCGAAGTCCAACCACAGCATGGATTTAAACTATGAAGCAGAGGAAACTACCACAATGATTATTTTAAGCTTGCTTCCCTTTGTTGAGCACATGTCTGCACTGTAAAAATAAATTCTAATAATCTAATTTTCACAGTGTGAAGAAACCGATCCACCTGAGCTACGACATCGACGCCATCGACCCCTCTGTTACCCCGGCGACCGGGACACCTGTGGTGGGAGGACTCACCTACAGAGAGGGCGTCTACATCACTGAACACCTCTGTCAGACAGGTACGACTCAAAATACCAACAAACATGGAGCCAGACAATATTTTGTCACGGCTATACAGTAAATCTGAGGCTACAGCTGGTTAGCTGAACATCTAAACAGCTAGACTGGCTCGGTCCACAAGAAGCAAACTCCACCTGCCAGAAGCTCTAAAGCTGTATATATATATAGATACAGCTTGGACCAGACTTTTCAGTTTGATCTGAACCAAAATTACAAGTGTGAAACCTTCCCTGGACGTGGTCTGGAGCCTCGGCCCGGATCAAACCAACCCGAAAGCAGTTTTTGCATGGTTTGGACTAAGACCATTTACAGGAAGATCAGCTGGAAATATAAAATGCAGGGAGAAATGCTCTGAAATAAGGACTCAATTATAAATAAGCCACGACTGCTCATCTAAAAAACAGACTCCTCCTTTCCTGCCGGCAGCAAGGACATTTATTTAGCAAGTTTGAACTTGAACCTGTGCGGCAGGATCTTTTAGGTTTTATTGATGCGTTAAAACAACACAAATGCAAATGATTTATCACTTACATCTTACATTGAAATTCAGTTCTTCCAGAAAAGGTTCAATTGAGGTGCAGTAGTGTTTCAGTTCAACAGTAAACCGATTTAGTAGGTTTGGATCCAGTCCATGAAGTACAAAGTACAACATATGTCACACTTGACATTCTTGTCAAAGCTACTGACAAGACAGACACACGTCCGTTTACAAGCCAAGACGCAGCCCACATAAATGATCACAACAGGACGCAAGCATGTGAAGTTCTTTAGTGCGTTTGCATAATTACAGTGTAAAACCAAACCAAATGCATCAAAACACAAACTTTGGTTTGGAGCTTGGTGCCGACTTTCAGGTGGCCCTTAGTGCCCTTACTTTTTAAGTATTTTAAAGGTAGCCTCACTGCTGTGCTTGTCCTGCAGGCCTTCTGTCGGCTGTGGACATGGTGGAGGTGAATCCTCTGAGGGGTCAGTCCAAAGAGGACGTCCAGTCTACAGTCAGCACGGCGGTGGACCTGCTGCTCGGATGTTTCGGACGCCTACGTGAGGGAAACCACCCGCAGGATTACCAGCTGCCCCGGCCTTGATACCTAAAGGTCTCTGATCACCAGCAGGAACTGAACCGACGATCAGATTCATACTTAAGCACCTCAGAGATGATTAAACTTCCAAATTTTAAACTTCAACAGCCAGATTACGAGATGTCAGAACATAATGCACTTGTTTACCAAAGCTTCTGATCAGTGAAAGTTTAAACCAAAGAAACTCCCTGTGAAACAAAAAGCACTTTTTATGTCATTTCTTGATTCATCTACTGTATCAATTACGTCTTCTTTTTTAAATATTCCAATAAAATATTCCAAATTTGACGTCCTCTGATTGCTCATTTTGTCCAAAACCCAAAGATATTCAGTTACAGTTATATAAAATAGAAAGAAGCAGCAAATCCTCACATTTAAACGGTCACATCTTGCAAATGTTTGTCATTTTTTGCTTGATAAATAGTATTCTGTTGATTGATGACTTGTCTGAGCTCAAACTTTTAAACAAATTACATCAATGTTTTAATCTTTTCAAGCCAAACAGGATGCAGAGGTCAGGGCTGGACCTGTGTCCCTGGTCAGGCCACGCTCTGGACAAAGCATTTGTTGGGGGCTCTGTGTCTTTAGAGACTTTTATTCCTGCATTCTTGAGAATTTTTGCAGTTCATCATTAAATGAGCCACTAAAATACATTTTCAAAACTAGAAACAACGATCTAGCTCTTCTCGAGTAAAGCAATCACTGTTGCTGAGGCCTGAGACTTCAATTTAAATAAATCATCAATCTAAACACATCACTGACTGGCTGTGACGCTTGTCCTTATCTCTGCTGTCTAATATTCACTCATGTCAGCGCCGGCCTGTGGTGGGTAAAGTCCAGTTATCCCCATAAAAATCACTTGAAATAAAAGTACAAAATGACAAACCTACTCCAGTAAAAGTGTAAAAGTATTTATAATAAACTACTCAAAGTACAAGTTTGCTTGTGTTTTAATATTGTAAAGTGTGTGCAGGGCAGAGATCTTCTCTTCTTGTGTATCGGGTCTGAAACAGCCTCTGTGTTGCATGGTTATTTCTAGGGAATGCACTTTGCTTGTTGGTTATCTCTAATTGAGCTCTCTTTAATACAATTATTTTCCATTATTAATCTACATCACGGTATTGATGAGATCACTTTAAACGATCTGGCTGCCGAGCCTACTATTGTTGCCTGCCTGTGTCTTTTCTGAAGGACATGGAGAAAACCCAAAGCACTTGCTTTGAAATGAGGGCGCTACACATGATCTGCCTTCTCCAATAGCTCAGGCATCCAATACACTATGATTATTCCTTAAGTATCTATTGTAGCATGTATAGTTATGTTTTAATAAACTTATGAGAATTAAAACCAAATTATGAATTTTAATATTCAGAAAATATTAATTCATAAAGCTTCTCGTTTCGCGGAGCACAACCCGAGATTCTGTTAAACTTATAGGAAGGCCCTCCGTAATGCCAGAGCAGCGTACTACTCGTCATTAATAGAGGAAAATAGGAACAACCCCAGGTTTCTTTTCAGCACTGTAGCCAGGCTGACAGAGTCACAGCTCTATTGAGCCAAGTATTCCCATAGCTCTCAGTAGTTACGACTTCATGAGCTTCTTTAATGATAAAATTCTAGCTATTAGAGACAAAATTCACTAAGACCTGCCCTCAACTGGCACCAACTTATCTCTAAACTCAGGAACCTTAGAAACAGCTGTAGAACCAGATACATGTTTAGACTTTTTTGCTTCACTCAATCTTTACCAACTAACTTCAATAATTTGGGTGCGTACATCCTTCCGTTGTGTGTTTTTGACTGATAATTGGAGGTTTTTCATTGATTTAAAGACTTTATTAAGTAATAAAACTTGAATAAATTAACTAGTAGGTGTTTATGACAATAAATTTATCATTAAAATAGTATAACAGTGAGTTATAAGTAAAGGAGGAATCTCCGGGGCCAGCAAAGGATCAGTAGGAGGTTTCTTCATTGATTTGGAATCAAGTCAGTCTTTTTATTAAACAAGTAAAGAATAAATTGAAATAATGACAGTAAAGCAGTAAAATGGTATAACGGTGAGTAAAAATTAAACAGCATTATAAATTACCTTCAACAGCCTGCAGCAAAATAAGAGAGAGGTCCAAAATTAAACTTGTTATAATCTTTGCTAAAGCTTTGTGTGACAAACTTGCCATCATTATCACTCCAAAGCTGTAGCCTAGTCTTAAACTTGTGAGTCTTAAAACTTTAATCCTTCTAGAGTCTGTGTCTCTTCTTCTCTGTCCTCTCTCTTTCTGGTGTAGCATAGGCTGTGCAGGGTGAATTGAGGAATGTGCTCCACCCCCCGCACCTCTCTCTGTTTTCTCAATGAGCTGTGTTGTGTGTTTTAACTGTCATTAGCATCTTCAGGTAATCTTGTAGACCAGTTATGGAATAGAGTTATCTATAACCCCAGACTCCGGTTGTTAAAATCGGTCTGGTTTTATCAGACAGAGTTCGTTTTCGAAACAGGAACCTATTTTTATCAGTCGCAGACAAGAGTTTGGAACTACAGACTATATAATAATCTGGTTGTACCAGAAGCAACGGTCCCCAACCCCTCACCAGTTATCTCCCACATGCTGTCACATACAAAATAAGAGGGTGGGCAGAGTTACCGTGAGCCAATGATAAGAGACTAAGAGGGGTTACCATAGGCCAATGATGGGAGTCTGTGAAAATAAAACCAGAACATTGTCTTCAAGAAATTGCCAAGAGGGCACTTGGATCCTTGAGCAGTATCTACCTACCAAAGAGGGGACCTCCATGCGGTTAATTTTTTTCAGCTAATGAGTGTTTGTATCTGTTAAAGACTTCTTGTTTCTTTCAAAAATGGACATCAGTGTTAGTAATATTTAAACATTTCTCTGTGATACAAAAATATTCAGGGCCACTTTATTGAGAATACAGTTTTACCTGTTATTCAGAAATTACTTGGATGCATGCCCAAATATCAAAGATTGCAGTATTAGCAGCAAAAGGTACTTTATCCAGGGTTCAATTATATAAAATGTTTTATTAGTGCTGTCATTTAAACTTTCTCTTAGGGGAATTCAGGTTTGTCTGTGGTGCTTTATGACCTTTATGGAATGGTGAAGTAGGCCTTTTTAAAGGGCCTTCATCTTTATCTTATTTTGTATTTGCTCTTCATAATTATAAATTAGGATTAAAATGCTCAGCAGCATGATCCTTTTTTTTTTTTTTTTTGTAAGTAATCACTAAAACAGGTTTATCAACTTTTACTAAACCTTTGGAATAATTCTGTCCCCCAATATTGTGAAATGAAATTGAGCAGTTATAGACAAGATTTCTATCAATTTTGCAATGTACTTGTTTCTTCAATCTAAATTTTTAGGCATTTTATTGACTGCATTACAGAAACGTCCATTGTTGGCTGGCACGTAATGACACGGAGTTCCCTCTTAGTTCCTTCTTAGCTAGCATGGAGCGACACTCCAGCATGGATGAATAAAAGAATGTGATATTTCTATTAAGAGAATATTGTAATCTAAACTATATATTTAATTTTTAGTTACACTTACAAAATAAGGACAATTCTTAAGTAGCAAAAAAACCAAATGTGTTTACAGCATCCAAATAACTCTAAATGTAGTCTTTCAGTAACATATAGACTATGTCCCTCATTCTAAACTAAAGCCTAAGTCACTAGTCACGCTAACAGGCCTCCTCTTTCCTAGAATTCCTTGTTTGTATGGGATTTCCTAGAAAAGCTAGAATTATAACAAAATATAGTTTACAACTTCATCAACTGAAAACTTCAAGAGCTAAAGTTTGATCCTTCTACTGAGAACCAGCTGCCTTTTGCTAATTAGGGTTTATTAGACTATTACAGAGGTCATGAAATCCAGAACCCTTCCCTTGGGGATGAAGTATTCAAATGCTAGTTAACTACTTTGTTGACATAACAGGACAGTAGTTTTCTGTTGATGAAAATAAAACAGAAGGTTATAATAAATCTCCTATAGGTAAAAGAATAAAAATCAGCTTCTCTATTTTGGCTCAACCGTGATCTGTGCTAATAACACTTATTGCACATTCCAAAGCTCAACAGGAACCAGCAGCTTCAACAACAAAAGTCTGTAACAATATCTATCATCATAACCCAAATCAGACGGAGAGGATTTCCCCTCGGGGAAAAACGACTCGGGTTACGTATGTAACCCTGGTTCCCCGAGAAGGGGAACGAGACACTGCGTCGGCCCGCCGCACCTCTCTCCCCGCCTGAAGCGCCTGCTTCATAGTTTAAGCTAATGATGAGTGTGTACAGGTGTGCTTTATACTCCTCCGGTTATTCCGTCACACCTTACCGTTCTAGAAACAAGCCAATAGGATTGGAGTGATTTCATTCACGTTCAGACCTGCTTCGCCTAGAGGCGTTCCCATAGTGTCGTAACCGACGCAGTGTCTCGTTCCCCTTCTCGGGGAACCAGGGTTACATACGTAACCCGAGACGTTCCCCTTCGAGGGAACTTGAACTGCGTCGGTTACGACACTATGGGAACGAGATACCCACTAAACCGTGCCGAAAACCCCGCCTGCCCCTGTGTGCAATAAAGTGGCACGACTAAGAGGAGAGCGCACGAGTGCCAGGTGCCGAAGGAAGATCAAGACTGTAAAACCGAATGAATGTGTGCGGAGTGGCCCAGCCAGCCGCTAAACAAACATCCTGCAAAGAGGCCCCGGAAAGGAGGGCTCGAGAGGCCGCCATGCCTCTGGTAGAATGAGCCCTCACAGCCACAGGTGAAGGCAAACCGCGCACCTGATAGGCCAGGGAAGTCTGAACAATCCAGTTGCTAATAGTATGTTTGGATGCAGGGAGCCCGGCCCTGGGAGTCCCAAAACACACTAGCAGCTGGTCAGCCTTCCTCCAACGGGAGGACCTCAGAGTGTAAATACTCAGTGCTTCTGACAGGGCAGAGCAGATGAAGTCTCCCGTCCTCCGCCGTCACATGAGGTGGAGGATGAAATGCCTGCAGCACTGTGGACCCTGCCGCACAAGAAGGCACTTTAGGGATGTATCCTGAACGAGGGTGCAGGATAGCCCTAATATTCCCCGGGGCAAACTCCAGGCTTTGCGGGGAACAGAAAGCGCTTGGAGATCCCCCATCCTCCTCAGAGAGGTGATAGCAGGGAGAAAGGCCATCTTGAGGGTCAAGTGCTTAGCCTCAGCTGACTCCAGGGGTTTGAAGGGGGCCTCAGCCACCGCCCCAAGAACCACCGCCAGATCCCAAGTGGGAACCTTG